ATTTCTGATGGGGCAAAATCAGGTTATTGATTTGATATCTTTCTTATTTTTATTTTTTTAATATTTATTTATTTATTTATTTATTTATTTATTTATTTATTTATTTTTGAGAGGGGCGGGGGGAGAGGCAGGCAGAGGGAGAAGCAGGCTCCATGCAGGGAGCCTGACGTGGGACTCAATCCCAGGTCTCTAGGATCAGGCCCTGAGCTGAAGGCAGGCACTAAACCACTGAGCCACCGGGCTGCCCTCTTTCTTATTTTTAAATGTGTGGATTGTAGATATTAATTTCTCTCTTGTACTGATTTCTCTGTATCTCATAAATTTTGGTATGTGGTGTTCCATTTTTACTTGTATCAAGATGCTTTCTAATAAAGCTTTCTGATTGTTTACTCAGCCTCGTTGAATCTGCGGATGAGCCCTTCCAAGGAATTCTTTATTTTGTTAACAGTATTTTTGATTTATCACAAATTCTTTTGATTCCTTCCTTAGAATTCTTTAGTTTATATTACCACAGATATTATATATTGCCTACTTTTTCTCATTAGAGCTCTTAACATATTAATAATACTTATTTTATAATACTTACCTGATAATTCCAATATGTTTGAATCTAGTTCTGATGATAGCTTTGTCCTTCAGACTTTGTTTCTTCTTGACTTTAGCCAGCTTTATAAATTTTTATTGAAAACTGGACATATTATATAGGGTAATAGGTAGTGAGGCAAATCGGCTTTTAGTGTATGCATTTACATTAATCTGGCTGTTAGTCTGGTTTAATATTTGTCATAGCTAAAGGTACCAGAGGCTTCATATTACTTTAGTGAACTTATTTTTCCTCCTTCCTTCTACACTTTTTTTCCCCTTCTTCCTCCTCACACTCACCCTCCTCCCCTTCCTCCTTCCTGTCCTCCTCCATTGTCACTGCCTTCTTCTCTTTATCCTCCTCTTTTTTCTTTTTCTCCTTTTCCTCCTCCTCCTCCTTTTTCTTCTCCTCTTCCTTCTTTTTCTTGTTCTTCTTCTTCCTCCTCTTTTCCTTATCCATTTTCTCCTTCTTTTTTCCCCCCTTTCCTTCTTCTTCTCCTGGTTTCCTTTGTTTCTGGTCCTTAGACAGAATCTTTATCTTGCAGCTCTTTTAGCTGTAACCCACCGTTGTTATTACTAGATCCTTATTAATGTGGTGGTAGGGTGAGTGGGTAGAGTAGGAAGGGAAGGGATGTTCCTTTATCTCCTAAGCTTTGAAGTAGGTCTCAGCTCTTTGTGGGCTTGTGCCTCAGGGGTGGGGTTAAACCTTCAGAAGACTTAGTCCCTTCATTCCTACTGTTTCCAGTCTATTTTCTTGAAATCCTCTCCCAATTGACTACACCTTACTTTATGTAATTATATACATATTTACTTACTTGTTTATTCTTACGCAGGACAGAAAGGTTGGAGAGGACTGTAGTGAGGTGAAGTTCCTTCCCTTCAGCTTGGAAAATTTTCAGAATAGCCCTCTGGAAAAGTCCTTTCCCTGTGAGGTAGACCTGCTCAGAAGGGTCTGGAGGGTTCCACAGTAGCTACTTTTCCATTCCCTCTGCCATGTCCATGAGGGGATTTTTCTCTATCCTCACCCTGAAAACTTAATGTGGTTTCTAGAGGAAATGGCTATGAAAGCATATGTCCCCTCTGTTTATTGTCCAGCCCCCCAGCTTCCTCCTTGTCCTGCAAGAATTTGTCAAAATTACTTTTTAACTCTTCCCACCAGTTTTTGTCATTTTGTAGCTTCTGCTGCAGTTCTTTGTTGCTGTATTTCTCTGGATCCACTATTTCTCCATGTTTCAAGAAGTTACTTGCCCTGTTCTCTGATGGGTCAAGAAAAGTCATTCAGTTTGTCTAGCTTTCTCTTGTTGTAAGGATGAGAATGACAATTTTCAAGGTCTTACATGTAATAAAAAAAAAAAAAAACACCTTTCCCCTCCCAAATATTGGTGTGTGTGATACTTCCATATCACCATGGAGCCTAGGCATTAACATCAGGGCCTCAGGACAGCTGGGCCTTGGTGTGGATACAGGAAACAAGATAGGATGTGTGATTCATTTTTAAAATGCATTTTTTTATTGTTAAGCATCATTTTTATAGTTTTTAAGAGGACTTTAATAAAGAAGATTTAGGAGAATAAGTAAGTGAGCACAGCATTATTTCTAACAGCAAAAAATCAAAATAACTTGAATATCCATCAATAGGATAATGTTTAAATTAATTGCCACCTATAGGAGACTGCCATGGAGCTGTTCAAGAGAATGAAGAAACTGCTTGCTGCTGGTAGCTGCCAAGAAGATGTCTGACAGAAAGAGAGAAGGGCACCTGGGTGGTTTAATCAGTTAAAGTGTCCTTGGTTAACGGGTTAACCATCAGCCTTTGGCTCAGGTCGCAAACCCAGGGTTTTGGGATTGAGCCTGCCTCAGGCTCTTCACTCAGCAGGGAGCCTCCTTCTCCCTTTCCCTCTGCCTGCCACTCTACCTATCTGTGCATTCCCTCTCTCTCTTTGTGTCAAATAAATAAATAATTTTTTTAAAAAAGGAAGAGAGAGAGAGCAAGCATGAGCAGAGACAGAGAGGGGCAGAGGGAGGAGATGCAGACTCTCTGCTGAGCAGGGAGCAGAAGCAGGGCTCCATCCCAGGACCCCAGGGTCATGACCTGAGCTGAAGGCAGATGCTTAAGTGAAATAAGTCAGTCAGAAAAAGACAAATACCATATGATTTCACTCTTAAGTAGAATTTAATAAACAAAATAGATGAACACAGGGGCACCTGTGTGGCTCAGCAGTTGAGCATCTGCCTTCAGCTCAGGTCGTGATCCCGCAGTCCCAGGATTGAGTCCCACATCGGGCTCCCTGTATGGAGCCTGATTCTCCCTCTGCCTCTGTCTCTGCTTCTCTCTCTCTGTGTCTCTCATGAATAAATAAATAAAATCTTTTAAAAAAAATAGGTGAACACAGGAGAAGGGAAGGAAAAAGAAAATAAGACAAAGTCAGTGAGGGAGACAAACCATAGACTCTTAACTCTAGGAAACTGAGGGTTGCTGGAAGGGAGGGGATGGAGGATGGGGTAACTGTATGATGGGAATTAAGGAGGGCAAGTGATGTAATGGGCACTAAACTCTACCTCTGAAACCAATAATACACTATATGTTAAATAAAATAGAAGATATCTGTGATATACTGTTCAGTAAAAAAGATTGAAGTTTATGTGTGTTTACATATGGGTATAAAAAGGGTCTGAGGACACATTCAGTGTTTGAGAAGGTCAGGGAAGTGGACACTCAGCACTTCACATTGTTTGGTTTGGTTTTAGTAAATGGGAATTAGTTTTGTAATCAAAACAACAGAAGGGTAAAAGAAGAAAGGAGACTCACTTTTTATTGTTTTCTGTCTTTTGAGTTTTGAATCTTATATTTATTCCATAAAAAGTAAAATAAAATAAGAAACCAGGAAAGGAAAGAGGTACCCCCTGATGTAGTTCACTGAATCTTCCTCAGCATATGCTGGCCTTTACCCATTTCCAGCACTTCCCTGCTGATCTCTGTCCTGCCCTCCTGGTGCACCCCAGGCCACCCTGCTGTAGGCCCAGGCCACCCCCACCACTGGGAGACTGCCTGGCCCCTTCCCCAACACTTCCCAGTACCCAGTACAACCTTGGAAGCCTGGAAGGTTGAAAGGCACAGTGCAGCCAGGGTGAACCCCAGCCCTCTGCTTGCCACTGTGTGGCCCTGGGGAGTCACTCAGGCTCTGTGGGACATCTGTGAGCTGGACTTTTACTTGATATGGGAGAAAAAATCTCCTATAACCTCTACAGCCATGTATGAATGAGAGAGTAGAAATGGCCGGAATTCTAAAAATGTCCTTCAGGCCTATGCTATTCCTAACACTGGGACAGGCACTCATCTCAGGAGCTGGCTCAGTAGTTCCATTCTTTCTCTCAGTGAGTCACCTGGACAATATGCTTGAGACCTGGAGAATCCAATCAAACTGGTGCTGTCTGTACCCATCTCGCAGAGGAGGGCAGCCTAGGAGGTGGGATGTAGAGAGAGATGGTCTGAGGTTTTCTAAGACCCACTGGACCTAAGAGGAAGGGAAGGCTCTCCTTCATTCTCTCAGCAAGGTGCATAGCAGGCCACTGCTATGATCTCCCAATCCAGAGAATGAGAATTTCTAGGGTGTCAGGATTGCCCAAGATGCTTCCCAGAGTGAAAGTCACTGGGCTGGTGACTCTTTGGTAGGCATGGCCTCAGTTCCTTATCTCTGCTGCTCTCTTGCTGGGTCACTGCAGACCACCCTCACTACAACTTCTGGGCTCTGGACCTCCTTTGTCCTTGCCTTTCCCAACACTCTTGGGATTGACTGGATTCACCCCATCACCAGTAGTCATCGTGTCACAACAAGGAAACACTCCCTCAGAATCCTGCAAGGTAAAATCTTAACTCTGCTACTCTCTAGACACAGGCTTACATTCAATAAGAAATCAGAAAACCATGAGCAACCTTTTGATATTTCATTCTTTTAACAAGTAAATACGTACTGAGCACTTGCTCTACTCAGGTGCAGTACAAAGAGATAAGGGCCTTGATTCAATAAGGGATGTCCCCTGTCCCCAAGTGCTCAGGCTGCTGACAGAGAGACACACAGTTGGCACCCAGAGGGTGCCTGGAAGAAGGGAGGAGTGAAGGCTTTGAAAGAGTTCACAGCAAGAGCTCAGCAAGAGAAATTCTAGAGCCTCATGAAGAGCTGGGCCTTAGGAGCCAATATGTGGGACTCAAACCCTATTAGCCCCACACACTAGCTGTGTGCATCCATGGCCAAGTCACATCAGCTCTCTGCACCTTGGTATCATATCTGAAAAATGAAGACAACATCTGCATTTAGGCTGATGCAGGGATGAGGCAAACTATTCCATGTGTAACCTGCTCCCAGCACAGCTCAATAATGCTAATCATTTGTGGATGTCCTGGGAGGAGGAATCACCTGTGGTTTTCTAGGAAGTCTGGTCTGATCTTCCTCAGTGTCACAGGGATGGGCCTGCTCAGGAGCCTACAGAAGTTCACAGTAGGCCCCAGTAAGCCCTTGTTAATGAGGGCCACAGAACATTCTCTAGTCTGAAGTGAAGCCTCAGGCAATCAGGAGAGGCAGCAACCTGTGGTCAGCTGTCAGACTGCATCCCTTTGGCTGGAATTTCTCCCCCACCACCTGACCTACCTCCTTCTATGATGACCTTTCCTCTAGAAACAGTTGCATGTCTGTGGCATCCCATCCTTTGCATCTCATTGCAGCATGTCAGGTGAGATAGGAGGGCCTTGATACAGGGTCTATCACTGTACCTGATGTTCTGGCACCTGCCTTTTCTGAGGATGTGGGCCACCTTTTCCCTTCATGATTCTGAACATCTGGTGCTGTGCATGTTGTGATTTCAGGAAGATGAGAGTTACCGCTGCATTCCAAGGTAAGTTTTCCTGAATGGGGAGGCAAAGATGCTGAGAGTGTGGAATGGTGAGAATGGTAGAGTTGTGGACAATCAAGCAGCTCCTTTCCTAAGAACATTGCCATACTTGGCTTCATTTAGAGGGGTTGGGGAAAATTATTGGTCTGATTTTTTTTTATTGGTCTGATTTTTAATAGAGAATTCACCAACACCCGACTAGGGTCTGTAAGGTCTAGCCTTGGCAAGGTTGCACAGTCTGCTGATTCAAGGCTTTTAGTGAAATGAGGCTGGTCCTGCTTCTTATTCCACAAGAAGTCCTTCAGGGCTCTAGTGCAGTGCACTATGGCTGCCTGCTCTGGGGGTAGAGAATAGGCTGGTGTGGGGCTGGTGGGCATTACTGAGCTCATCCACAGCCCCCCAACTTGCCTATCTCCCATTCTATATCCCACCTCTAAGCCTTCGACCATACACTTATTTTTTTTCAACTCCTATGTAGATTTCTTGGCTCCCTCTACTTTTCCCATTTATAAGACGTACTGCTATCTTCCCATCAGGTTCAAGCCTGAGCTCTTCTCTCTAACATGCTGTATAAGGAAAAGCCAGGTTTGGCCACTTCACAGCCAGTTGGGATTGGAGTCTTCATTTCTTTGTGGAGAAATCAGTGAAGTACACTTTGAGAGCAATGGCAGTGGTGCAGCTGTCCTTGGTCTTGGGCTGGCCTGGCTGAGCTGGTTGAGGATGCCTCCACATTAAAATGCTCTGCTCCACTTGCCTGTGTCCTGATACCCCAACCCCCCAACAGTCCTTACATCAGGGACAAAGGATGGAGATTTGGGTGTTAGGTTTTGTTGAACGTGGCCACAAAGACACAGTTTTTGGTGAGTGAGGGCCCATGCTACAGGTGAGGCTCAGCCATGGCTGGCCTAGGGGCCCCTGCTTCTGGCTGGTTGCAAAGGAGGCCCTCATGGGCCAGGAAACTGTACTAACTTTCTGGGGCACTTGCAGAGGGGGGGATCACTTGCACTGGCTGTTGGAAGTGAGGCCCAAAATTCCTGGCAGTTGGCCCCTAGGGCTCAGCTGTGTAGCAAGGCCAAGCAGGGCTATGAGTCCAGCTGATTCCTATGTGCCACCTGATTCACAGCCCTTGAACTGAGCTGCAGGGGCTGATCCTCCGTAGAGGCACGATGAGCCTGGGTATCCATCCTTGTGGGCTCAACCCTGAGCCGGCTAAGGTCTAGGATGTGGCCTAGGCACCTCTGGTCCTGTGGGCTATGGAGTGGACTAGCCAGGGAGGGCAGGCCGCACACAACTGACATGTTAGGGAAGCTGTTAGGTTGTTTCTGCTGGAGAATTTCAGGGCTCCTGGCCTGAGGCTGCCTACAGAGCCCACTGCTTGTGTCCTGCCTTGGGGACTGTGTAGTAGAGGACTGGCAGTCTGAGTGGATCTGCAGGGCTGCAACCTGGGCCACACAGCCTGTCAGGGAAGGCTCTACATTAAAGGTGCTTCCTCCAGGACCTGACCTCCAAGGACCTTGGAAACACTCCAGATTCCCAGGTGGCCTGGACTCCTGGAAGCCAGGCCAAGGTTTTGGGAGCTTGTTTTTGCGGTAAGTGTCTGTTGCTGCAGAGGCTGCAGACCCCACAGAGAACAAGCTTTCATGGCAGCCTTGTGTCCCTCCTTCCCCAGAGACCTGTACACATTCCAGAGATGGGTCCCTGGACAGACTGCTGGTTCCTTGTTCAGGTCCTGCTAGGCCCTTGCTCTCTCTAGCAAGTGGGCCCTTGGTACCTGAATGTGCCCACAGCTCCCGCCTGCTGGGTGCTAAACCCACAGTGGTTCTATTTGCATCTGAAGCCCCAACCCCCCTGCTCTCCTGCTTCCCTGGATCTGAGCCCTTTTTCTCAGAGCCAGCTCCTAGCTTCTCTACCTGCCCCCTGGGTGAGGTTGCAGTTTCCCCAGGGGCTGAGGCAGGTGGGGTACGGAGCTCAGGGCCACGGCGAAGCCAGTTGATAATGCCCATGGTGATGGCAAGCTCAGTGTCACAGAGCTTTAGCAGACACTCCTTGCCCTTCCAGGAACTTTGCAAAAAGCCCTGGCTGAGCACGTCTGGGCCTGGTGCTGGGGCCAAGTTCTCCTCCGCCCCCACATGGAAGCTGCACATGGACAGTGGTGCTCCTAGTGCTGGCCCTGACAGACTCTCAGACACACATAGGTCATCATCCAGGCTTGGGCCAACAGGGCCCTCACTGGGGTCATAGAAGAGTTCATAGAGGGCGTCTCCGCTGTAGCTGTCCCGGGGGAAGACAGCTGAACGTGTGCCTGGGCTCAAAGCCTCCTTCTTGTCTTCCTCAAGGCCAGGTGAGAAGGAGTCATAGTAGCCCTCATCACTTGTGGACACAGATTCCGGCTGTTCACTCTTAGGGGTGCCTGTGTCTATGGAGCTGGCTTTCGAGCCACTGTAGGGGTCTCTGCAGGGACACAGGGGGAGCTCAGCAAGCCCAGCAGCATCTAGCCTGGGCCGATCTGTGTCTGTCCCCAGCCATGGGCCCAGTAGGGCATGGTGCTGCTGCCTCACAGAGTGATTCACACTGTCCCAGAACTTGGCAAAGTCAGACATCTCATTTTGGGCAGGTGATGCCAGCTGTTCCACGCTGCCCTGGAAGGGACCCCTCAGACCCTTGTTTTCAAGGGCCTGTGATACTTGGGCTGGGCTCTCCAGGCCCTCATTCAGCTCCAGGGATGGTACTGAGCTTTCATCTGCAAAGATCTCCCCACAGCCTGTGAGAGAGTCAAAGCTCTTGAGAGAGGCCACATCCTCACACAGGGCCCTGCAGAGGTCAAAGGAAGAATCAGGCAGGAGGAGCTCACTGTCAGATAGGTCCTGACACAGGCTGTCTGGCCCCAGCCCCTCACCTAAGGGGAAGAAGGCTTTACCTGGCTGCCCCCCATTCTCTGATGGGCCCCTAGAGGAGGACAGGCTCTCCCCCTTGGTCACCAGTGAGGCCAAGTTCTCAGTCTTGTTTCTGCGAATGTGGAATAGGTTCCGAAAGCACTTCTTAGGTCGTTTCAGGGAGATCCTCTTCCTTGGGATGCTCTTGGCCACGGCTGGCACAAAGGGCATCTGGGGCACAAAGTGGCGGTAATCAATCATGCGCTGGCTGCTGGAGGGCCCTGGGAAGCTTGTGCTGCCCACCAGCTGCCCTGTGGCCGTGCTCGCCCTGCCAGCCCCAGGCACACTCTCATGAGTCTTACTCTTTCGCACCAGTTTGAAGGTGGCCCCACAGAAGGCTGCAGCCCCCACCTCAGGTTCTGGCTCTGCTCCCTTACTGGGGTATCTGTCATACCCTTGGGTGCTGGGACTAACCTGTGGGGCCCTCTCACTCTGGGGCTGCTGTTGCCCTCCTGGTGAGACTGACCGGGGACCTGCATCCTCCATGGTCAGAGCAGTAGCTGCTGGGTCTGAGGGTTTCTCGTGGGAAATCTGCAGGCTGGATTTAATGAAGGTCTTTCCTCTCTTCAGTTCCATGCTGCCAGTGCTCCAAGCTGCTGTGAAGGAAAGCAGGAGGCACTTAGTATCCAAGATGAAGGCCTATATGGCTCTAAATGACCTCTGCCTACCTCTGCTTATACAGTGGCTTTGGCTCTGACATCTAAACTTGGATCCTCCATGAAGATAGGGATAGGGAGATAAGAATGGCCCCATCCATGCTCACTGCTCCAGGGCTGTTTGTTGCTCCATAGAAAGCTGATACCAGAGAAATTAAGTCACCTGCTTAAAGTCACATAGTAGGAGCCAAATTAGAGTAGGTTGGGGGTCTGGTGCTCTTGTAGTCTGATCTCTCAACTCAACTCAGCATCCTCTCAGAGCTTATCTGTCCAAGTCAGATTCCCATTTCCAGGCCCAGGCACTCTACAAATAGCATCCTTACAAGGGAAGTGTCACAGACTTTCTAAGTGGTGGAGCAGAGAATTCAATAAATAAATTCCTGCCAAAGAGACAAAGCTCAAAGGGAAACCCAAGCCTGCCTTCTGGGATGGACACAGATGCTTATCAGCTGGAAAAGAAGATATATATTCTGCCTTCCAGGGATATTGCATCCATCTGAGAAGGCAAGACTCAGTCTACACAAAGGTCATCAGGGCAAGCACAGCCAAGCATCTAATGGTGCATGCTGAGTTTGAGCACTGAGAAGAGAGATGGCACCATGGTAAAGGAAAAGTGAGGAGTCAGGCATAATGCCAGGGCCAGGCAGGTTGGATAAACACAGCACATGATGGGCTGGAGAGCAAGCAGGTATCACCTTCTGTGTAATTCCTGAGAGGTATCAATGCCTAGAGTGCCATCCAGAATGCCACCCAGATGGATGCCCAGTCTTAGTCCAATAGGAAAGGATGTTGGGATTGATTACTGATGTCTGTCCTGGTTGTGGGAGGGAGAAGCCCGGGAGAGTGTTATCTTGACCATTTTTGCATAGCTGATGAGTGTGGCCTTTCTCTGAGGCCAATGAAGAACTATAAAATCTTCTGAGTGAGTGGGTGGGTAGAAACAGTGTCATAACAAAGTTGGCGGTCTAAGACCATTTCTCTGACATCTGAGTGGAGGACAGAATAAATTAGGAGAGAAGCTTTGAGCAGAAAAGATTCATAAAAGGCAACTAAAGTGGGCTGAGTATGTGGGGATAAGCTCCAGATAGAAGCTGCAGTCATAAGTCACAGAAAAGAGAGGAGAAATTATAGGGCCTTCAAAGGCAGAAACACTAGGATCCAGCAACTGAATAAAGAGAAAGAAGTTATCAACACTCAGGAAGCAGTAAATATTGACCCATAAGTGGGAAAACATAAGGAAGTGGAAGCTGAGTAAAGGTAAGGAAGGAGCCTATGCTAAGAGCTTATTTGAGAGAGACAAACAAGACTCTATAGTTTTAAAAATGTTGCCTTTGAAGTAAGTTTAAAGACCCATAAGAGAGGAAAAAAGAAGGGGATGTCTAAGAGCACCACTTGAGAACTTCCCTGGACTCCCTTATTGTCTCTTCACAGGCACCCAGCTCACAGCTCAGCCTGTTCCAGCAGGTCCTCCTCTCTTTTGGTGGTGAGCAACCTACTAATCAGTCCTGTCAGTTTGGCCAGGGAAAGATTTGGGGAGAGAGTATGGGGTTTCTTTGATTCTCCATAAGAACTTGCTTCATAGGGAGCACCTGAATTCACTCCCCCACAGTTTGCAGTCTGCGAGGAAGGGATGCAGCAGGTGTAAAGGCAAGTGGCTCTGTCAGCCTACATGCCACTCAGATCCACTGCCCACAGAGCTTTGCAGCTAACTTCAGAAAGCTGCTTGATAGCTATGAGCTATTCAGGGTCAGCTCCAGAGTCTCTCAAATGCTTAGCCATGAGGACCTGGAGGTGAGCAGAGTGGCTGCCTCACAGCCCAGTTGACATTAAAGCTGAAGAAGATGAGAAGGGGTTACAAGGCTACCATTGCAGAGGTTCACAGGGGCAAGCTGGTCAGTCTCCACCCATTGGCAGTGCTTCCTCCGCTGCAGAGGACACCTGGGACTTTAGGCTGGAGGACAGGAGACAGAGCAGGCACTGTGCCAGAGAAACCCACAGAACCTCAACTTGGTTCTGGTGGCAGTTCATCTCTTGATGGAAGCACCCTGGACAGTGCAACAGTGCTTCTAGCCACCTTTCTGCCTCCTGTGAGGTTGCATGTGCCCATGCCTTTCCTACCCTATACCTGCAGATCCTATTTTCACCCCCCACCCTTTGTGGCCTAGATAAGTCATTCCCTAGCTCAGTTGGGTTTTATTATACACAGCATAGTGGTTACTATCTGGACTCTGGAGTTGGAGAACACAGATTTGCATCTATCTAACCAGGTGAGTGCTTGGCCTATAACCTTATAAGAGACATACTATAGTAACCTTCATTTTATAAAGGAGAAATTAAGGTCCAGTAAAGTCAATAGATTGGTCCAGGTCACACATGTGGTAAGTGACAGAAGTAAGATTTGAAATCGTGCCTGTTTGATTCTGATCGTGTGCTCTTAACCACAATGGACATTCTATGAACCAACAGTCCAAACTCCTCTTCATAAGAAATTTAAGAATCAAATAACAAATGTGTTTTTATGAAGAGTATTGGAAATCACAACAAAAATGACAATTCAAATAAAAAGTACAGCTCACACAAATTTAGAAAAATTGTAACTGAAGATAGTATAATTTCTATGACAAGAAATTTTAGAGATATTTATTATGAGATCTCTATTCTATGTTTTATGAAAGTCTTTTTATTACCATACTCTTGGAAATAACTTCAAGTAAGCACGATAAAGATCATTTCACTATGTGCAGAAGTTGCAACTACAAGAACTAAGATGGTTTATCTGATATTGACCTCTATAAATAAAACTACTGATTTCTTAATTCTTAATTCAGTTAACTGATTTAAAATCCTCCAAAACTGGAAATTTCACCACATTCTGAACTTGGAAAATGACCTCCAAAAATAGCAGTCATTGCTACAGATGGCTGGACTCAGTGTCACTAATGTTGCCAACTCTGTTTCCTGAGTTCATTTAACACTTTGGCACATTGATAGGGCAATGAGCACTAAGATTCAGAATAATGAATGAGAAACTTACACAATACTGGAGCAATCATGTGAAATCCAGTGTATATTCAGTCCAGCTTCCACTTTAAAATATTTCATCAGAGCCTGACTCTTTAGAAATGTGGAGCCCATATGTGACATGGGTGGGAACTCCCTGAGGGGTCAGAAAGCCCATTGCCTAATGGGAGAAAGAGCAGTTACCTTCTGTGACAGTTCTCAGGGAGAGAGTGGAATTTATCTGGACAGCCAGATGCTGGCACTGATATTGCCTGAGGCCAAAGAGATACAGGTTCTCAGCTGTAAAAATGCACATTCTGCTTTGTAACTTTTTAGCTAAAGGCCCCTTCACTGAGCCCCTGAGAGGGAATCCTTTACCATGTGCCACATCCTTCTCCAAAGGACAAAGTAACCCTGTCCCTTCCTGGTTTGGTCCTTTCTTATTGTAGCACTCAGTGATCACTGGCTGCTTATTCTGGTGCTTATTTGGTCTTCATACTCCCCAGTGAGGTTGAAAAATTCTCAAAGATTCAGAACTCTAACTGTGGTTGAAAGTGAGCTACTACTTATTTAAGTGAAGTATTTATGTTTTGGAGACATTTTAGCCATATATTTACATCTAAGTTTCCTAGAAAGGATGCTGAGTCTGGAGTTTTTAATTCTACAGTTTGTGCTCACTCTCTAAGATGGGTCTCAGTGACACCAAGACCCTGAACCAAGTCTTGCATCTCTAAAATGAACTTGCAAATTCCATGAGTACAAGGACCACACCGTGTACTTATTTAATCAACTCTGATTCACAGATGTAGTATTTAAACCAAGATCTAAAAGACAGCCAAAGACAACCAGGTAAAAGATGTGGGAAGCATATTCCAGGCAGAGAGCACATCCCTCAGAAAAGCCTTGTGGAGCAAAGGATGATTTAAAAGCTCTGAAAACAGGCCCAGGTGGCCAGAGCAGCAAGCCAGTGGGATGGGGCTGGGAAATGAGCAGGGAAAACTGTACCAGGCCTGAGGTCACAGGGAGGATCTTGGCTTTTATTCTATACCCCATGGAGAGCCAGCCATCAAGGGTAACAGGGGTCAATTTTCAGTTTTAACATATCAGTTGTAAATGAGAATGAAAAGTAGGCTCAAGGAGTGGAGGCAAGAAGGCCGATTAGGAGCCAGAGCAGGGCCTAGTGGAGAGTAAGTAGTGAGAGACTTTCCTTCTATGAAACCTTTCCTCTCAGTGCCTTACACAGAGTATACACTTGGATATGGATTTATTGCAAATTGAGAAAATGAAGTAATTCTACTGTCTGTTTTTCTACAAGATGGATAACTTTAGTTCACCCACCTAGGATTTTCTTTTCCCTTTGAGAAGGTAATTCTGTGAGTTTCATTCCCTTTTTTCTTTTTTTTATTGGAGTTCAATTTGCCAACATATAGCACAACACCCAGTGCTCATCCCATCAAGTGCCCCCGTCAATTCCCCGTTTTCGACGAGATCAGGCGCATTCAGGGTGGTATGGCCGTAGACAATTCCCTTTTTAACACGAAAGTGATTGGGTATATCATGGAGCAATATAAAAACCTCGCAGGTACACATATGTAATAAAAATGGTTGGGAGACATAAAAATTTTTCTTAATAGTTTTGGCATTTGCCCTGCTTTTCCCTGCTCCACCCCCAACATCCAGTAAAATCACAAGCCTTGAAATACAAACAGGTGAATGGTGATAAGAAAGCAGAGGCCTCAGAGGGGAGACCAGCCCTGAGGGACTTCCTGGACATTGGTGTCAGAGTGTCAGGCTATGTATGGGGCAATAGTCTATCTCTGCAGAGGGTGCCTTGTCTAAGCCAAAACCTTCAGGATGGATGGAGTGAAGGCTATTGTGGAGAGAGAAAGCCTCTGTTATGGGGTGGGTGGGGGGTGGAGAATGAAGCAGAAATAGAATCTGCAGTGAGAACATTACCAATTCACCCAACCCCCACGTTGGAGAGACAAAAGGCCTTTTGGGGAGTGAAGGTTCCGGCCCACCAGTCTCTAGGTGTTTCCTGGCTGAAAGAAAATGGGTCTCCAGTGTTAACTGTACTTTCCCAGCCTCTGCATCCGTGCACAGGGGTTGTCTCCCCTTCCTTAGCCGGGGCCTAAAAGGGTCATCGCCGTCCCCCCGCCCCCCGCCCAGGTCCCAGGTTCCGCATCATCTACGCAGGACACTGTGGGGTGGAGAGTGAGCCAGAGAACCCCTGGTTCCTCCACTCAGCCCTCCCATCACGCGAAAGAGCCCATGAAAATTCCCAAATCATCCTCTTTCTCCCGAAGCCTAAATCCCAGGGCCTTTGGCGACTTACCTTTGGTTGCCGAGAGTGACGCAGTACGAGGCCTTGGCAGGGCCGGGAGCCGCGCCCGAGCCCCGGCCGCGCGCCCGGCTCAGCACCACGGTCAGCTCCCGGCGCCGCGCGCCCCCGCGGGGTGGGGACAGCGCAGGGCCCGCGCGGGCTGGGGCGGCGGGGGCGGCGGGGGCGGCGGGGGCGGCGGGGCGGCCGGGGGCGGGGGGCGGGGCGGGGCGGGGCGGGGCCGCGCCGGAGCCCCGCGGCGGCCCAGCGCCCCTGCGCAGCTGGGGGCGAGCGGAGTGCGCCCGGCCGGGGTGGGGCCGTTCCTGGAGGAGTGTGGCCTCGGTGAGCCGCCGCCGCCCGGGCCTCGGTCTGTCTCGCTTTGTTAGCTTCTCTGTGTCCCCGCAAGGCTGTGGTTTGCATCTCTCAGGCCCAGCTGCGGCTGCAGCTCAGTGGTGTCCTCCGACTCCCGGCCGCATGCCTGCGAAGTGGTCCGAAACCCCAGAGCGCACAGCCGCGGGTGCCCCGGTCTCCGCAACCCACAGCATCCGGGCAGATGGGACCCTGCCCGTCACACGGAGCCCAGTCGCGATGCCTACGCAGGATTCGGAGCTGGCTTGGAAGACAGGGGCATGCAGCATGACAACAGATGTCCCCTCTCCCGGCGCTGGTGGTGTGATCCTGACCTTCCCGGGCAGTTTCTGGCCATTGGAGCTCCCTTAGTCGATTCTCCCCCTGTTAGGTAGAAACAAAGGCGGATCTATATTTCATTTCCACCTATACCCTGAACGAAGGATAGAATTCCCACAGATTCCATAGTCCTTCCTGGTTGAAGTTAATAAACATCCGTTTCTTCTATTCTGGCCTTCGCTCTTCTGCATTATTACAAGGACTTTATATTTTTCTTCAGCTTTTCCTTTTTTGAGGACAATTATGGGTTTAACTTCATCCAATGAGTAATAATTGCTCTTTTCCATTCCAACTCGTCACCCTTTGGCCAATGAGAGCTATTCTAAGCCATCCACTTTCGTCCTTTCAGAGGGTTTTAAAACATACTTAACTTTTAGGTAACAAAACAAATTAAATACATAATTTATAATATATAATTTTTTTATCTTCCCCCAAGACATGGGATCAGGTCTTCTCCACGGACCCCTGGAAAGATCTTTGACCAATATTTCCAGTTCAGGTATTCCTGAATCATTTTTAATAGTGTTCTGTTGTAAACTTGTTTTCTGTTATTTTTATAATACACTTCGTTTTCTCATCAGGACTCACATTTCTGGACTGTAGCTCTAACGCTTTTCTTTTCTCTTGTCTGACCTTGCTCCCTGGTTATTTGATTGACCAATGGGTCTCAGACCTTCTGGCCATAACTTTTGCTTTCTGACAGATTCAAAGGATCTCACCTGGGCAGCCCCGGTGGCCCAGCGGTTTAGCGCCGCCTGCAGCCCGGGGTGTGATCCTGGAGACCCGAGATCGAGTCCTGCGTCGTGCTCCCTGCGTGGAGCCTGCTTCTCCCCCTACCTGTGACTGTGCCTCTCTCTCTCTCTCTCTCTCTCTCTCTCTCTCTCTCTCTCTCTCTCTCCCTCTGTCTCTATGAATAAATAAATAAATAAAAATCTTTAAAAAAAAAAAAGGATCTCACCTGACTATGAGCACAAATATGACAGTAGCCTGTTAACTGTGTTAGTCAGAGTGCAAAAATTCCAGATATTAAGATTAGACTCAGTACAGCCTTGTGGGTCCCACATCAGAGAAGACTGGGAGATGAGGCAGTGGGATCCTATGCCTCCAAGGAAGGATAAGAGGGCTGGGACTGTCAACTTGGAGAAAAAAAAAGGTCAAGAGCCACAATTTGGAGTAGATGGCTGCGTGGGGAAGAGGGATGATGGCTCGAAGGATGGGCATGGCAAGAGGCACCCTAGTACTCATGCTAGTTCCCCTGAAGAGAGATGCCCTTCACAATTTCAAACAAACTCACATTAGGGAATACATTCACATGATGTGGCCTACTGTGATGACTGGGTGTTTGCTTATTCTTTAAAGTATTTTGTTTTATTTTTAAAAATTTAGTTTTAAAAATATGGAACACTTTATGAATTTGCATGTCATCCTTGCATAGGGACAATGCTAATCTTTGTATCATTCCAATTTTAGTATATGTCTTGCAGAAGTGATCACAAATTACCTATATTTTAAAAGTTTAAACTTAAAAAAATGAACACAGCTTGTTTCTTTTGAAAAAAAGGTCTCATAAAATATATATAACATTGAATTTCCCATTCCAATACTTTTTAAGTGTATGATTCAGTATCATTGGGTACATTCACATAGTTGTATATCATTATCTTGATCTATTTCCAGATATTTTTTTATCACCCCAACAAAACTCTACCAAAATTCTTCATTTGTCTCTCCCTCTAGATGCTGGTAACCTCTATTCTACTTTATTTCTATATGAATTTGACTGTTCATATAGATGGAATAATACTATACTTGTCCTTTTCTATCTGGTTTATTTCCCTTACCATAAGCTTTTTTTTTTAAGATTATATTTATTCATGAGAGATAGAGAGAGGCAGAGACATAGGCAGAGGGAGAAGCTGGCTCCCTGCAGGGAGCCTGATTTGAGACTTGATCCCAGGACCCCAGGATCACAACCTGAGCCAAAGACAGACACTCAACCACTAAGCCACCCAGGCGCTCCATAGCATAAGGTTTTCAAGGTTCATCTATGTTGTATTATGTATCAAAATTTGATTCTTTTTTAAGGCTGAATAATACTACACTGCATGTATATACTACATTTCTTTATCCATTTTTCCATTGATAGACATTTTAGCTGTTTCCACCTTTTTGTCTGTTGAGAATAATGCTGCAATAAGCAATGGTAAATAAATATCTGTTCAAGTTTCAACTTTCATATCTTTTGAGTATAGGCCTGGAGGTGGAATTGTTAAATCATAATAGTAATTCTTTGAGAGAACATTGTACTTTTTTCTACAACACTTTATGTTCCTACGAGCAATGCCAAAGAACTCCAATTTCTTTACATCCTTATCAATACTTTCTGCTTTTTTTAACAATAGTCATCCTAATGAGCATGAAGTGGTATCTCATCATGGTTTTGATTTGCATTTCCCTATGGAACTAGTGATATTAAGGAATTTTTCATGTAACTAGAAGTGATATTTATATATTTTTTGGAGATATGTCTTTAAAGTCCTTTAGATTTTAAAATTGTACCATATTTCTTCATAGCTGTATTGAGATATTATTGACATATTCATATGGAAGTTTAGGGTATATAATCTGATTATTTGATACATGTATATATGGTAAAACATCCCCCCACAATATGAGGGTGTGAGAGTAACAATTTAAGGTTTACTCTCTTAACAACTTTCTTTTTCGTCTTTCAAAATTTTATTTAGGGAAGCCCCAGTGGCTCAGCAGTTTAGCACTGCCTTCAGCCCGGGCATGATCCTGGAGTCCTGGGATAGAGTCCCACGTGAGGCTCCCTGCATGGAGCCTGCTCCTCCCTCTGCCTGTGTCTCTGCCTGTCTCTCTGTGTGTGTCTCTCATGAATAAATAAATAAAATCTTTAAAAAAAAAAAACTACCTTAAAAACAAAACAAAACAAAATTTTATTTAAATTCAAATTAGTTAACATATAGTATAGTATTAGTTCCAGGGGTAGAAATTAGTTGCATAACAGTTGCATATAACACCCAGTACTCATCTCATCAATTGCCCTTCTTAATGCCCATCACCCAATTATCCCTTACCCCCCAAACCACCTTCCCTCCAGCAACCCTCAGTTTGTTCCCTAGAGTCTCTTATGATTTGCCTCCCTCTATTTTTTAAAATATCTGATGCTGAATTTTTTTGTATATTTTTTATTGGAGTTCAATTTGCCAACATATAGTAAAACACCCAGTGCTTATCCCGTCAAGAGCCCCACTCAGTGCCCGTCACCCAGTCACCCCATGCCTCTGCCCGCCTCCCTTTCTACCACCCCTTGTTCGTTTCCCAGAGTTAGGTGTCTCTCGTGTTCTGTCTCCCTTTCTGATATTTCCCACTCATTTTTTCTCCTTTCCCCTTTTTTCCCTTTCACTATTTTTTATATTCCCCAAATGAATGAGACCATGTAATGTTTGTCCTTCTCTGATTGACTAATTTCACTCAGCAAAATACCCTCCAGTTCCATCCACGTTGAGGCAAATGGTGGGTATTTGTCATTTCTAATGGCTGAGTAATATTCCATTGTATACATATACCACATCTTGTTTATCCATTCATCTTTATTTTTTAATAATAAATTTATTTTTTATTGGTGTTCAATTTGCCAACATACAGAATAACACCCAGTGCTCATCCCGTCAAGTGCCCCCCTCAGTGCCCGTCACCCATTCACCCCCACCCCCTGCCCTCCTCCCCTTCCACCACCCCTAGTTCGTTTCCCAGAGTTAGGAGTCTTTATGTTCTGTCTCCCTTTCTGATATTTCCTACCCATTTCTTCTCCCTTCCCTTATATTCCCTTTCACTATTATTTATATTTCCCAAATGAATGAGAACATATAATGTTTGCCCTTCTCCTACTGACTTATTTCACTCAGCATAATACCCTCCCGTTCCATCCATGTTGAAGCAAATGGTGGGTATTTGTCGTTTCTAATGTCTGAGTAATATTCCATTGTATACATAAACCACATCTTCTTTATCCATTCATCTTTCGATGGACACCGAGGCTCCTTCCACAGTTTGGCTACTGTGGACATTGCTGCTAGAAACATCGGGGTGCAGGTGTCCCGGTGTTTCACTGCATCTGTACCTTTGGGGTAAATCCCCAGCAGTGCAATTGCTGGGTCGTAAGGCAGATCTATTTTTAACTCTTTGAGGAACCTCCACACAGTTTTCCAGAGTAGCTGCACCAGTTCACATTCCCACCAACAGTGCAGGAGGGTTCCCCTTTCTCCACATCCTCTCCAACATTTGTTGTTTCCTGTCTTATTAATTTTCCCCATTCTCACTGGTGTGAGGTGGTATCTCATTGTGGTTTTGATTTGTATTTCCCTGATGGCCAGTGATGAGGAGCATTTTCTCATGTGCTTGTTGGCCATGTCTATGTCTTCCTCTTTGAAATTTCTGTTCATGTCTTTTGCCCATTTCATGATTGGATTGTTTGTTTCTTTGCTATTGAGTTTAATCAGTTCTTTATAGATCTTGGATACTAGTCCTTTATCTGATATGTCATTTGCCAATATCTTCTCCCATTCTGTAGGTTGTATTTTAGTTTTGTTAACTGTTTCTTTTGCTGTGTAGAAGCTTTTTATCTTGATGAAGTCCCAATAATTCATTTTTGCTTTTATTTCTCTTGCCTTCATGGATGTATCTTGCAAGAAGTTACTGTGGCTGAGTTTAAAAAGGGTGTTGCCTGTGTTCTCCTCTAGGATTTTGATGGATTCTTGTCTCACATTTAGATCTTTCATCCATTTTGAGTTTATCTTTGTGTCTGGTGCAAGAGAGTGGTCTAGTTTCATTCTTCTGCAGGTGGGTGTCCAATTTTCCCAGCACCATTTATTGAAGAGACTGTCCTTTTTCCAGTGAATAGTCTTTCCTGCTTTGTCGAATATTAGTTGACCATAAAGTTGAGGGTCCACTTCTGGGTTCTCTATTCTGTTCCATTGATCTATGTGTCTGTTTTTGTGCCAGTACCACACTGTCTTGATGACCACAGCTTTGTAGTACAACCTGAAATCTGGCATTGTGATGCCCCCAGCTATGGTTTTCTTTTTTAATATTCCCCTGGCTATTCGGGGTCTTTTCTGTCCACACAAGCCAGGTTTTTTTTAAAAAAAAAAACAGTTTCAGAAGAATAGGTATTAATTCTTCTTAAATGTTTGGTAGAATTCCACTGGAAGGCCATTCGACCCTGGACTTTTGTTTGTTGGGAGCTTTTTTTAAGATTTTATTTACTTATTCATGAGAGACACACAGAGAGAGGCATGGACATAGGCAGAGGGAGAAGCAGGCTCCCTATGGGAGGACCCTGGGATCCTGACCTAGTCAAAGGCAGACACTCAACCACTGAGCCACCCAGGTGCTCCTGATTTGTATATAATATATTCTGGAAAATAATCCATTATTTTCCGTATTCTGTTGTATTTATTGTGTATTCTGTTGTGTATTCTGTTGCTTTAGAATGAAATGCTCTGAATATATCCATGAAGTCCATCTGGTCCAGTGTGCCATTCATAGACTTTGTTTCCTTGTTGATCTTCTGCTTAGATGATCTGCCCATTGCTTGGAGTGGGGTGTTAAAAGTCCCCTACTATGATTGTAGTATTATCAACGTGCTTCTTTAATGTTATTATTAATTGGGTTATATAATTGGATGCTCCCAAGTTAGAGGCATAAATATTTGCAATCATTAGATCTTCTTGTTGGATAGACACTTTTATTATAATATAGTGTCTTTCTTCATGTCTTATTACATTTTTTTGGCTTAAAATCTAGTTTGTCTGGTGTAAAAATCACTACTCCATTTTTCTTTTGATGCCCATTAGAATGATATATGGTTCTCTACCCCCACACATTCGATTTGGAGGTGTCTTTGGGGCTAAAATTAGTCTCTTTTGGACAGATATCAATGAGTCCTGTTTTTTGGGGTTTTTTTAAGATTTTATTTATTTATTCATGAGAGACAGAGAGAGAGAGAGGCAGAGACACAGGCAGAGGGAGAAGTGGGCTCCATGCAGGGAGGGCGACATGGGACTCGATCCCAGGTCTCCAGGATCACGCCCTTGTCCGAAAGGCAGGCACTGAACCACTGAGCCACTCGGGCTGCCCGAGTCTTATTTTTTTTAATCCAGTCTAATATCCTGTATCTTTTGATTGGAGGATTTATTCCATTTACATTCAGAGTGAGTATTGAAAGATATGGATTTAATGCCATTGTATTACCTATAAAGTCACTGTTTCTGTAGATTTCTCTGTTCCTTTCTGGCTCTTGTTACTTTTGGGCTGTCTCTTCACTCACAGGAGCCCCGTTAATACTTCTTGCAGGGGGGATCCCTGAGTGGCGCAGCGGTTTAGCGCCTGCCTTTGGCCCAGGGCGCGATCCTGGAGACCAAGAATCGAATCCCACATCGGGCCCCCGGTGCATGGAGCCTGCTACT